TTCCTGCTTATTACTGCCTGCTATAGTTAGTTTAGGTTTGGGGTTGGTTAATGAAGGGAGATGCTTCCGAAAACAGAGTGTGCTCTTCTGGACACAATAGCCGAAGAAGTATAGGAAACATTTTTTTACTGACACTCCGCTTGCTCACCTGGTAAATGATTTGATTATTATGATCCAGCATCCAGCTTTTGTAGCTAGCCCGTGCACTAAACTGGCAAATGCCAGGGTTCACCAATTACCTAAATTAAGTCTGGGTCACGCATCTCATCTCCTGTTTCTTGTTTGCTTTGAATGAATCCAAAAGTAGTGCTAACAGCTGGAATCCCTGCTGAGGCCAGCTTGATCTGCTCTGGAGCTGCTCCAGCCAGTGCTCTGATAAAGCTTGATATCGTTTCAACAGGCTCTAGGAGGACCAGAATGATTTCCTTTCATTGTTTAAGGTTTCATTCAAATATTCACCTTGCCAGGAAAAAGGATATTTCACTTCTGCTTTTCTCCCTTCGTTGCTGCTACTAGAAAACTTTTTTTTTTATTTTCCTAAAGTTACGCTAGAGTGTGGCCGGTGCTTTTGGATTCTGTGGGAATTGTTCTACGTCTTCATCCCCAGGGACTCTGTGCATTGCAGTTGCAAAAGGTGCATGCTGTAAATAAATAAATAATGCATCGATGTCTCAGAGTCAAAGCACATGTTCTGCTAAGAGAACATATTACGTGAGGGAGGTCGGGGAGAACTCTGGCCTTCTGCCCAGATTTTGGTAGTAAGCAAAGCACCTAAATCCCTTTAAGAATCTGGCCTGCAGTCTATTATTCTTCAGCAGCTTTTTGATTGTGGCATTAAAAAACACTAGTAATATTGGATTGATTTTTAGGCAGTTCAGTAATCGTGGAGTAATGTCTGCTCTCCAAAGAGAGACTTCCTTAAGGCCTCCATAATTTTGTGTTGTACATTGACTTAAAAACGAGGTATTATCAGTCAACAAAGTTTTATTCCCACCGTGCATCATCCATCCCTCTGGTACGATTAGCAGAGCTCTGCTGAGCCAGACCTCGTGCTGGCAGTGTAGGCACGCATCCTCCCTGTGGCAGCTGTGCTCGCTGCAGGGATGAGCCCCCTGCTCCCCTGGCTTTCCCGGCACAGCCCTCTTCCCTGCCCATCTGCTGGTATTGCTGCCCCCTCTCCTCTGCTCTCTCAGCTCCCTGGGTCATGTTCCCCAGCATACGAGGCTCAGGTTTATCAAAGGGTTACTATTTTAATTGTTTGACCTAATCCAGCTTGCTGTGCATGGGATGGGTGAAGGGTGCACCTACGTGAGCTGCTGTGCTAGCAGCTGGGATGAGGGGATGCACGAGGTGGGTTATCCTCCCCGGTGAGGGTACAGCTCCCTTGGACCATTTCTACATTGCAATTACAGTTGGCTTGTGGTTTCCATCAGGCTTGTGCCCCTAAGCCAGGCTTGTTTCCAGTGCTAGGCTGTAGATTGGCCCTTACTGCTGTTATCAGGCTTATAGTGAAATCTAGGTTCAGCTGTGGAGCCGTTTGTAACAGCAGAATGACAACAGAGCAGACAGGACCTATGGCAAGGCATCTAGCGAACTGCCAGGCGTGATGGAAGAGGGCTTATTACTGGGAATTAAAGCTACTTGCTCTTGTTCAGCATAATCTCCTGCCCCGGTGGGCCACCAGCCCCAAAGCAGCTGTGGCCTGAGGTGTTGGGATGAGAAGCAGGCTCTGATGACTTACTGCTGCCTGCAGGTACTGTTTGCTGGTGCTTGTGGGGAAGAAGGAAAGTCAATTCATACATGACTTGAGATGCAGAGCAGTATTTTCGCAGCTGTACGTGTACACCCATCCTAACTGGCCAATTCCTGTGAATAGAATTTTGTTCTTGGTTGCAGAGGGTCCAAGGGATCCACCGCGCTGGCTGGCAGTAACTTCTGTGCCAGTGTTGGCACAGTAAAATTACCTTTGTGATTAAAGCAGCACATGCTATACTCTAGCTGGTCATGTGTCCCATGAGGACAGCATGCCTTTAGCATGTGCTAGGAAGCAGAAAACATGACCTCTGTCTTGTTCCTAGCTAAAAATTTGAATTGCTTTTGGTAAAGCCTATACTGTCAGTCTTCAATGCTGTCAGCTGTGCTTGGCAGATTATTAGGGGCAGGTCATGCAAATGGTGCACAATCACATCCTCATTCTGTGGATACAATACTCTTGTATCTGGAGTTTGGATGTTATGGTTTGGATGGATGGAAAACTAGATGGGTAAAAAACTGGTTGGATCGTTGGGCTTAGAGGGTGGTAGTTAATCAGTCATATTATACCTAGAGGCTGGTAACAAATGGAGCACCACAGGGGTCTGTCACAGGACCTGACCTGTTAACCACCTTTGTCAGTAATCTGAAGCAGATGGCAGAGTGCACTCTCATCAAATGTGGACATGACACCAAACTGAGGGGACCAGTTGATGCACCCCAGGGCAGGGCTGCCACCTAAAGGGACCCAGAAGGGCTGGAGAAACAGACCAGTGACAACTTTTATGAAATTAAACAAGCACAAATGCAAAGTTCTGCCCCTGGGAAGAATGAGCTCCTTGCAGCAGTACAGGCTGGGTGCTGCCGGGCTGGGGAGCAGCTCTGCTCCACAGGGGAGCTTGGGAACCCTGATGGTCTTGGTGGGCAGTGAGCTGAATGAGCCTGCAGCGTGCTCCCTGCACAACAGCATCCAGGGCAATAGTCACAGGAGCACTGTCAGTAGATTGAGGGGAGTAATTATCGCCCTCTCCTCAGCCCTGGGAAGACCACATCTGGATACTGTGTCCAGTTTTCCAACTGAACTTAGCCCATCATCTCCCATAGCTCTTGCTGCTGGCAAGCAATGAAAGGAGATGTCAGAGGAGTGGGAACAAGACTTCTATTGCCACAGTTTTAGTGGAGTGAACCCCATGGAAGGTGACTGGTATCACTACCAAGTAGTCCTAGTAGTGAAGAAGTGACTCTGAAACCAAGATCTGGTACTTTACCAGCAGTCTCACCTGCCCTTCCCTGCATCCTGCTTAGACTGCTAATGGTGTCAACTCGTTTAATGTTTTTGTTGTAAAAACCCTTTTAAGACCTGTTGACTGTCATGTGGTTTGGAGTAATTCATGTTAGGCTTATCTCATCATTCAAGGTGAAATTTAAACAAACCGTGAATTAAGCGATCGTATCAGCAAGTCTGGAGATGATCAAAGAGAGAAGTATGCTTCTGAAAGCTGTTTGGTTAGTTCTGTGACTCAGTCCATGAGAGCAAACATGCACTGCCCTGTGCAAACACAGCACAAAGGAGTTGCAGATTTTTGCAGACTTTGCTTTATGGACTTTTACCCACACCTCCTGGGGACCCTCACTTTGTGTTGGACCATAGGAATGTATATGACAGGGACTGGAAGATATGAATAGAGCAGGATGATGGTAGTAAGGCCTGGGATTGCTTTCTACTTTCATTATGGGGATTGCTTTCTACTTTCATTATGACTGGGAAATCAGTTTTACAATGACTGCTCATCTTTGGAAACCCAAGCAAACTTCAGCTGAAACTCCCTCAAAGTCACATAACTTGTAGAGAACAATAAGCTTGTATCATATAGACCAGTGTTTTAGTTTAATTCATTTTTTCCCCTTCTACTTTAGTATATATATATTGTGAAAAATGACAGGTATTTATTTCCAGTTTGGAATTTCACACTGGCTGACTCATCCAGTGAAAGAAGCTTGTGCAAAGATATCTTCTGGTGGTGTCTGCTGTAGGTTTTGGATCGATTGTCTGAAAAATACTGAGCCAAACTGGTCGTGGGAAGATGCTTAGAAAATTAAAACTGAAGATGGGCATCTTGTAGAATTTGGTTTTTTTTACAATCTTTATCTTTCATTCAGGCTATGGTTGCTTGCTATCCTGGAAATGGAACTGGGTATGTTCGTCATGTGGACAATCCAAATGGCGACGGGCGCTGCATCACCTGTATTTATTACCTGAATAAGAACTGGGACTCCAAGGTGAGTAAGCCATGGGGTTGAGGCAGAACACGAAGGAAAAAGTATTTCAGAAACAGAGCTTTGGAGCTGTCTGTTGCTTCTGTGAAATCTGGTGAAATTTTGAACAGCTGGTCCATTCTTCATCTCTACATTTATTTTCTTGGTGTTTATGGCAACCCTTTGGAAGTAAGAATCTGAACTGTTTCCTTGTCATTCTCTCTCATCCCACACACATACTGTTTTGTTGCTATAGAATAAAGCTTCTAAGGACTGGGCTGCTGGCTCTTACGCTTTGTTTAGAGGAAAGAGTAATGAAGCGCTAGAAAGAAAAACATAATCCGCTAAGGAGTAAGTGGATTCTGGGAGCAGAGTAAAATGACAGCCCAAATTTAGGACTTTAGCAGTCTTGATACTGTTCCTTCAGGCTAACCTGCAGATCTTCAGGCAGTTGCCTTTGTGGTTTTCTTCCTTATGAAGTGATGGGGCTTAATAAGAGGAACGAGCACATGGCTTGGTTTGTCCTCTCCATCTTTAACTTCACCGGGGGTCTCCTGACAGGATGGTGTTCTTGTTTCTGCCTGTATTACTATAAGGCAATAAAGTCAGCCTTGAATTTACCATACATTTAAGTTAGAAACAAAATAAAGGTTTGTAAAATTGCAAGATGTCTCTTTACACTTCTGTTGTCATAATGCAGCACAAACCACTCGCGTGGAGTATCTAGTGAAAATTGCCCAATGTTTTTTGTCTCTCTAACCTGTCTTGGCCACTTTAGGTGGATGGTTTTTCAGCACACGTAAATACTATGAACCCCCAAAAGCGAGTTCAGATTTTGAGGCAATGCCACTAAAAAATGCACTGTTGGAGAGAAACATATTCCTTTACGGAGAGTATGACAGTGAAACATCTCAATGTAATAAAATGAAGGAGGAGATGTGGGAGGAAATGCAAATATCCAATTTATTTTGTGCACTGCACTCTTACTTAAATAGTGAGGAAGCACCCAAGTGGACACTCAGAAAGCTAACTGAAATCCAGGACACTGGTGGAGAGTATTACATGGGAGTGATGGTAATTTTATGCAAATGTATGCTGGAGGAGATAGATACAATATAACCATGCTGGCCTTTGAAAGCAAACATGTTGCTTTAAACCTGACCTAATAGTTTCTTACTGAGGTTTGCATGCCATGTGGAGGTACTACGTCAGGTCAGTGCTGGGTTGACAGCATCTTCCCTGCACTCTGTGGTGCAGTATAAAAGCCTCCCAAGAGCCCTCTAACTGCCTTCTCCCTGCTGCTGAGTTCATCTGCATCTTGTGAAGTTTCTGCAGTGTGTGCAGATCAGCAGACTTTTTCCCTGAAACTGGTGGCTCATGGAAAGAGAGAAATGATGTGGTAGCAAAACCAGGCTACGTCATAAGCAGGAAAAAGACTGGCTGGGAGATACAATACAACTATGAGACGTTTATTACAAATACAACAATAGAGCAGACTTCACTCTTCCCAGGGTGTAAAAGTTAATTCCTATATGGTCAGACGCAGACTCTGAAATACCCTAAGCAGTATCTACCAATTGCTGGGAGGAGAGTCTGATCTCAGACCGGTCAGGTGGAGCACCCTTACCTGCCTCGTGGTGCTCACTGGTTTTAGAGACGTGAGTGGGAGCTCAGAAGCTTCCCAGTGTTTGTTACAGGGCCAGTGTTGTCTTTATCTTGGTTCATTTACTTTAGCCAGATGTTTATACTGAAACATTACAAACTGTTTGGGAAAATCAAGGTGGCCAAGAGATTCAGTGTACGGTTTTCCAGTGTTGTCATGTAGCTGTCTTGGTTATCATTAGATGTTTATTCTCCATTTGTTGGGTGCTGAGGGGGGAGAAATAAGTCATTGTTTGCATGAATGTGTGGGTGTTTATATGTGTAAAAAGCAACTTTTCCTTTTTTTAGCTGCATGGTGGAATTCTTCGGATATTCCCAGAAGGAAAGTCCTATGTAGCAGATGTTGAGCCGATTTTTGACCGATTACTTTTTTTTTGGTCAGATCGAAGGAACCCACATGAAGTCCAGCCTTCTTATGCAACCAGGTAAGTAGCATATTTAGTATTGATATTTGGCCAGGAAAAAACAAAGCATCTCTTCTACCAATATTTGTGTCTAAAATTATGGCCATCGTGTTTGTTTAAATACACATGTGGATAAAAACTAGGTAGCTAGATTTTGAGTGGATTTTCTGTTTTTGAGTCACTGGGAATTCTCTTATCAAGTGAGGAAGAACAAGTTTGAATGATAAGATTCCTTGTGTGATGGAAAAAAAAGCCCTTTTTACCATTGACAGAAGAAATCTTCCAAGCCAGGCGTAGCTATTTAGCTGGGAGATGCTAGGTTATGGTTTTGCCCTCGTAACCCTATAGGGATTTTTGGGGCTACCATCTGTCAACAGGCTATGAAAAACTGATGTGACGCAGGGCAACCCCCAAGCTGCCTACAGGCGTCCCAGAACAGAAAAACATGCAAAGGTCTGTAAGCTACTTGTGCCCTCTGTTACCAGGGACTGTGCACTCTTTTGTGCCTCCAAGCAGAAATTCTTACCTATATTTCTATCTTACTTGATAAAATACACATTTAAAATGCTGTCTGTATTTGTCTGTAAGCATGTGCCATTTGCATCCTATTTTTTATCTACAAATCCAGTTTTATTTTTTTGCTTTCTCCATGACCATAAAACTCCAGGGCTCTATTTTAATAGCAAAAGTTGAAACAAACACAAGATTTCTTTGTTTTATAGATATGCCATGACTGTGTGGTATTTTGATGCTGAAGAAAGAGCAGAAGCCAAAAAAAAGTTCAGGAACTTAACCGGTATGATTCTTTAAGTGTTCACCAGAAAGAATCTAAGGCATTTTGGTATTTCCAAAGTCAGAGACAGACTGGGAAAACTCTGTAGCTAGATGGGTATGACATTCATTTTTAGAAAGCTTTTCATCTCTAATCACTAGTTGGTTATTTTATGTGAAGTGGAGAAATGACAGAAGAAGATTCAGGCCTGGCCTCGGTGTCCCTGATGGGCGTGATGGAGAACATGGGAGAGGCGGTTTCTGATTTCTCTCCCAAATGGTTGCTGAGATTTTGTCCTACCCCAGGTGGCTGCTGCAGTCACTGGGAGTCTCTAAGCTCTTCTTTTGTTATTTGGGAAGTATATTTTGTCTTCTCCAAACTTTGTTTAGCACAAAGTCATGAAATACAAACAGTTTCATAACCATGATGTTCTCTAAATGTTCTGGCTGAATAGGGCCTGTCTTCTATATTAATGAAGGGCAGTTGGGGCCTGCAGTAATGCAAAGGGGATTTGCCTCTAATTTACAAGTAATTTCTGAGTGGGGAATAATGACCTTGGAATGTATAGATAATGAGCTGGAAAGAAACTAAGTTTAGAAATATATATATAAGTGTATCTTTTGTCAGGCAGTTGCTAAAGTAGCTGTGATCATGGTGCACTTCAAGAGCTACATAATTTTGGGTCTCACAGATAGCTTAAAGCCAGCCCAGAGACACTTCTGCAGAAGCCTGGGAAGAGGTGACCCCAGCATTCCTAATGGCAGCCACACTGCCTACTTTTGTAGTAATGGCATACGAGTAATGGACTGAGTGGTCCAGATGTGCTCCAACACCCTACCTGGGGCCATGCTCAAAGGTTTTCTGCTGGGAGCAGTTTAAGATCTGGTCTTCAGGGACTGCCTCTGGCAGTTCCTCAAAATACAGTGTGGAGAGCATTTGTCTTTTTTAAAACGTGTGGTGTGCAGCAGGGGACCAGCAAAGTCATCATTAGTCAAATGCTTTTCAGCACAGACTGTTGTCATCTATGTAGCTGGTATGCAAAGCAAATACTGGCTTCACTCTTAAAGTGGATCATGAGCAAGGGGCCAAGAGTTGGGGGAAAAGTATCACAGATCTGGGGTCTGAAAGTTTATTGGGCTATTTAATTACTGCATGAGTTGTCTTCAGTTTCACCAGGGCAAACAATACAAAGCCTTGGTATGACTATCTCGTTAACGTGCTGTGGATTCATACAGTGTTTTAGTCCATGTAGTGAATTCATCTCATGAGTCTGAAATGGAAAGTGCTGTCTGTTGAAAACAAACCAACTGTATTCTGTTTGAGTTTTCAGATGAATGCTGTCAGAACCCTCTGGCTTAACGGCCTCTCCTTTTTTCATCTTTTTGATGTAGATGCAAGGAAGAGAGAAGCACCTATTAATGAAGACTAATCAACTGTTCCTGAACTCTTTGTGAGGAAATAAGATCCCAAAGATGACTTCTGTTTCCAGTGAACAAGTGCAAATTCTTATTATGCACAAGAGCGCACTGGTTGTGTCTAGCATGTGCATCTTATATTGATGGTACTTCAGGCAGCCTCCTGTCATGCCTGCACCTGGCAGAAGGAACACTTGTTTTCTGTTTGCCTTTTGCTGGAAAAAGTAACCAGGGTTTAAAAAAAAAAAGGGTATCACCAAGCCTAGTGGTAGTGGTTCAGCCAACTGGCTTTTGATCACTCTTGTAACCAAGATAATGATCATTGGAACTTGTGGTAAAAACCAGAGTCTTATTTGCACTTTAAGGGGGGGGGGGGAATCTAGCTCAATGGGAAGGAGCTTTACAAGTTTAAAATCTGTGGCAGACTGCTAATGGGTAAGGAGAGATACTGGGAATGTGAAATTAAACTGGATTTTTGTAGAGTGTCATGTGGTCTGTCCCACATGGGCCTGTCGATGTACTGTTCATCACTTTGCTGCACAGAACATTGGCTCAGCTCTTTGATAGCATGACTTTCCAAACAGATTTTTGTCTACGCAGTCATTCCATTTCCTGGGTTTTGTTTGCTTGTCAAGAGTCAAGTTGTAGCTGTGCTGTTGTCCTGCCCTTTCTGTCCCAGGACTGAGGGGGAAGCAGTTATGCATCTGTCCACAACGTTGTAAAACTGTTTCCTTTCTGTTCTGAGCGGGATGGGTTCTACGGTTTCTATTCACTGTTTGGTAAAGCAGCTGTTTTCTCCCAAAAGTTTGGTAAACTTGGAAGGCTGATGGCACAAATGCATTGGCACTAAAGGCCAATGATATAGAGTTACGTGTTATTTTCGTGACTTCTCCATCTACTATGTCTTGTATGACACAGGTATAAATCTGAAAGGAAAAGATGTGTGTGGCAGTCTGAATGTATGATAAATAATGGGTAACTTAGACTTGATTTTTGTGCTGCTTATCCTTAGTTAACACACTTGTTTAACTTTGCATATATAATTTGAATGAAGCAATGACTCTGTTTCAATTGATCTGTTACGCCAGGTAACTACTTCTGCTGTGCTCAAGCTGTGAGATCAGAGTTATTCAAATGGCAAAGCATGTATTTTTTTTTCCTCCTTTGTTTTTTTTGAACTTATTAGACTCAATGAGTAAGTGGTGAGCTATCTCCAATCTGCCTAAGCTTCTACAACCAGCACTTACTATGCAGTTCAGAATAGCTCTTAATGAAGCTGAGACTTGGCAGTGGATGTATTTATCACTCACACTAATATTTCTCAACCTAATACACTCACTTGCATTCATTTTTGTCTCATGTTGTCAGTATGTATGTCAGACCCTACTAAATATTCCAAATAGATGCCTTCAAGTGTCCCATGTTTTCCTGTGCCACCTGCCTGCAGCGGTGAAGGTGGCCTGTGTGAACCGCCGGCCCCTGCGCCAGTTCGCCATGCTGTGCCAGGCTGTTGTGCTCATGATGGGTCTGCGGGCCAGCGCTGTTGCACTTGAGCAAGGGAATGAAAAAGTAGAGTGCAATGGCAAGTATTAAATGTCAGTGACAGAAGGGTAACAGCTGCATAGGACAGAAAAGAAAACTTTCATGACATAAAAAGTGGTCATAGAAATGGAGTATTTTTTTAAGCAGTTATGTCTCTTAAAAAGAAGCTGGGCATCCTTCAGCCTGTCCTTGAATTCTCAATGTAGATACAGTAGTGCTAAGAAACTCCTCGTTCTCTGTGACTTCTCCCAGAGATCCAGCTATGGTTTTATGGGCTGGACTTTGTTCAGCCTGACCACTGTGCACCTTAAGTGAGGAATATGAGGGAACACGTGTGACAAACGTTCTTATAACTCAAGACTAGAAAAAGACAAATAATCTGATAAATGTCCTTTAATGTTAGGAAAAACATTATCCCACTACAGTTGCTTCTAAGTAGCACAACATAGACTTGAAGGAAACTTAATGACAACTTGAAATTCTCATTCTGCAATGTTCATGTGGGAGGAGAAAGGGTTAGGCTTCTTTCCTGAGAGTGAGAGGTCACCCTTTGAAAGATGGGAGGTGTTGAAAAAGGGAGGGCACAGGATTATTATTTTAAAAGGTAGGGGGGGAGCCCAACCTGTTGTATTGCTATGCAAAGTTGACAATGGCATGTAAATTTGAAACTCCTACATGATTGTAAGGGGGGCAAAGACAGCTAAAACAGAGCAAAGCAAGTCTTGCTTTGCCATTATAGAAATGGTCACCTTAAAAAAAAACGCACTAGAAAGAGATGTTAGTACACATCTCACTGGAGCCAAGAACAGTGGAAAAGCAATGGGGTGGGAGAGGAAAGGCCTTGTATAAAGGTTGAAAAAGAAAGGTACTTCAGTTACCACAATTGCTACCACCTGGCTTCAGCAGTGGTCAGCAACATGCGTGTGGTGGATAGAGCATGGAGCAGTATAGATGCATTTAATGTAAATAAAGTACATATTTTCATTTTTAGCCAATATCTTCCTGATCTAGATAGAGGAGAGAGCAATTATTCTGCGGCAGAGAGCATTGTCTTTTTCTTTATTAACACATATAATTAAGTACAAAAAAGTTGAGGGCACAGGATTTTGAAACCAATTTCTCAGTCCCCTGTTCCAGACCTTTATCCCATATCTGGATCAGTGGGATGATCTCTTGAAGATGCTGTAGTTTAATTGGGGGGTGTGGGGATGTTGGTCATGTAGAAATCCACAGGCTTGATGTTTTCTACACAGATTTTTCTTGCCTGTTTCTGGAATTGTTGCAAACTGCTCTGCAAGAATGAAGAACTGTGGGGGCAGCAGGCTGCTGCAGTAGGGAGGGCATTTCAAGGAGACTCTTTCCTTGTGTTTTTTGTCTTCGTGGCAAAGTGTTTGAAACATCTATGGCTAAACAGCACTTGTCATCCAGTTTTGAAAAGGAGTGCTTTCGCGAAGGCATTTAATTTTTAGTCCTCCAAAAGTTTTTTTTTTGTTTTTTTTTTTTTTCCCAACCTTTAGGTAATGTGCCTTCATCGTTCATATCTGTGAAGATGTTACATGCCACATGTGTGTGTCATGCAAGTTTTTTGTGGCTCTTTAAGAAATACAGTTGCCTTTCCAAATGCAATTGCATTGGAAAAATATGCAGAGCCACCAAGCCACAACTTCCAACAGGTGGGTTTTATTGTGCAGGGAGGAAAAAGGCCAGGAGACAGTACTGAAAATCAAGAGACTATTTTTATTCTTAAACCTGTATCCACTGGCCTTTTCAGCAAAGTAGCCTCTAATAAATCTTATTTTCTCTAGATTACTTCTGGTTCTATGAGGAATGGCCTCTGCAAAGTAGTGTCTAAAAAGATCCACCCTTTTTTCCTTCTCTCTTTAAACAGCTTTAGTCCTTTCCTATTGTGTTTTTTAAAATGTTGGAATATATTATATATATTTGTTGTTGTTGCAAAATAGCTGGCTCTAACACCACTTGCATCTAGAAGAAAATGTATCTATTTGCAGGCAAATAACTAGTTCTACTTTGACTGTGATGTACTCCCAGCAGATATCTGAGAGTGAGTTAGGACTACATCTTCTCTTGTCAGGTTGTATGCTGGTCAACAATGCTGGCACTTTGCATCGGATTGATATAGAAACCCCTAGTAGTATTTTACCATCCATCACATCTTGTGTTCCTGTTACTATTAAAAAAAATATATATATATGTGGCAGGAGTCAATAAACACTGGGTCATGTTAAACGTTGTCCTGTGCAAATCTTTTCAGCCTTGATTCTACCATGGCCAGGGTTGTGGCAGGTGGGTGCAGTGCCACACAGCTGGGTGAAGGGTGGTGGCACGGCAGAGGTGACACCGAAATCCTCTGCTGTCGGGAGAGCTGTTTGTTGCCATCAGCTTGGCATGTTTCCTTGGTCACTTCCTGCTATTTTGAAGTTATTTACCTTGCTAGTGACCCTCTTCTTGAAATGCCTATTTGTTTTCACACTCCTGTTGAACCAGATAACATTCTCATGATTCAATTGTTGTCTGATAAGTTTTATTTTTAACAGAGTTCACATCCTCCCCCTGCTACTTTGCCAGCCTGAGTCCCACAGTTTTCTCCTGCAGCTGTGGGGGAGGCTTCTCCCCACTCCCACTAACATTGCAGTTGAATGAAAGCCAGGACATTTTCACTCATCTGTTAAAGTGCTGTGAAGTTTTTTTGACTCTTTTGCAATATTGTGAATAGTGGGAATTTCCCCCGCTATGTAAAAGATACTTTCTATCATGGAGGCCTTGGATTTGACTTTTTTTGGTTAAAGAGGGGACAGAGCTCTAGATAATTTGCCACTTCTTCAAGCATTTCTTTTACACTGAGGAATGCTTAGAGCATGTGGAGAAGACCTAAGGAAAGCAGAGCGGTTTCGCTTCTGAGCATGCTCCTCACTGAGTGAGGCTTTGTAGGGACTGCTTGAGAAGAAGCTGGCCATTGGCCATCCAGCTGCCAAGGACTTGTCTTTTCTCTGAACTCTGACTAAACTTTCTCTAAGCAAATATGCTTGCAGTAATTGTTATCTTACAGCTATTTAGGGGTCTCTTTCCTCCCCCACCTACCCAAAGGGATATGGCTAAATATACTTGCACTGACAATTCCCATGACTCTTGAGAATGCATCTGATATCAGAGGTTGCACTGAAAATTGCGAAGTAGCATGACAGTTGAAGAGAGGTTAGTAAAAATTGATTCTCCTTTCCCACATAGTTTTGTCTCTGTGGAGTACTTCCCCTTCAGAGAGTTGATAAAACTCCCATCCTCTTTCACAAAGTGTAGATAGATATATATTTTTTTTTTAATCTGTCTGTGGAAAGAGGGGATAACATCTGCATGTGTGCTTATTTTAAACAATGCTGGAGATGCTAAGTAAACTACACTATGCCAACTGCAGTCAACAGCAATTTTCCTGTGGTGGCAAACCCAGTCAGTGCCAGTGTGCAGGTCTGCTCCTTTGCTGGGCACCCACAGTAGTAAATCTTCCCGCTAGAGGCGAGAGAGGAGGCAGTTTGTGGTCCCCGATGACAGCCAACACCCTGGAGACTGGTTTAATCAGGGTGTGGCTGCCTAGTCCAAAGATTTTGGGAGGTGTTAATCTGCCTGGCTCTTAAAAGTCTCCTGTATGGGTGGTTGGTGAGAAGCATGGAAAGACAGACCCTCTAGTCCAAGCTAACAGACCTCTGAAGACCACTTGTGATTACATGCAACTGTTCTTATTTCCTTTAATTTTGACATTTTCTCAGCTTGTACCTGTTGAGTGTCTTGTGCTAAAACACCTCAGAGCAGCAAAA